ATCTATTATTAGAGACATCCTATCTATCTTAAAAGGTAGATATAAAGTTTGTGTACATTCTACTCTCCATACATGACTGGATCACACTCTTCATATATTTTTGTTGTTGTTGTCAAGTATATGTAAAACTTGAACATAATATCGTTGATTAGACTCATTACTTGAAATAGAGTTTTTTCTAATTACAATTCAATGAAAAATTTATGCTATAAAACAAGATTTTCCTACTCCATTCTCATCAAATCAGCTCATTCGAAAACGCATGGTGAGAAAATTTCCATTGATTTTTTTTTTCTTTCTTTTTTCACTAAATCAATCAAAATATCCGTGAAAATAGCCACTAAATATTTTTCAATCGAAAATTTCACTCTTAGTAGTGTTTAAGACATAGATCCACACCTAATTTGTATGCACATTAAACTCGCCAGCTAGTGGAAGTTTCAATTTGTGCAATAGATAAACCTCTTAGCTAGTCTAATTCACTAATGTCGTTGTTGTTGTCTAAGTACAACCAAGACCTTATTGTAAGATAGGCATGGCCAACGATGGAGAAAAAGAGACAGCACAACACGTTAATTATAATGAAAGAGTGAAAAGATGTGAAAGTGATATATTTTGGTAGAGTTGCTATTCCTTTTAGCATTTGCTCACATGGCTAGTGGTTGAACAAAGTAAGAAGGAGATATCAAAAAAGAAAGCAGGTAGAGGATGGGATACATTCCAATATTCCAATGTCTATTGCCCACAACTTATTAGAACCATTATCTTTCATTTTAATTTTCATGGACCCCTTCTTTGTTTCCTTTGATATGCCATAGGTTATGGAGTAGAAGTTTGAGATTACTTTGTTTAAAAGGTGAGTTACAACACTAGCTCATAGTGTAAAAGAGTGTGTGTATTGTCATGTCATCTAAAAAGAGATAACTACAAATGACCAATCGTTCATAAAACGTTCAATAAATGGCACTAAAGATATATAATTGTTACCTGCTTTAATAGATGTGAATATGCAAAATATAATAATCAACAATAGTACTAGTAATTAACTATTCTTTAATATAACTATAATCATTCCACATGATAGGGACAACATCGAGTATGAATCTTTTTTACTAAATTTAAAATGATGAGTCTTTTTTTGTATATAAAATACAAACTTACGTGTCAAATTTTACATTTTAAAAAATTGAAATCCTATTTTTTGGTAAATTTAGGATTTCAAATCATGATTTTAATTAAAATTAAACTTTTGTTCAAATTTTATAAATAATTACTCCTTATTTCAAATTTGAATCTTAAAACTTATGACCAAACACTTACTTAATGTATTGTTTATGTATGTAAGTGAAATCCTAAAAGCATATATTCTAATAGTATATCGGACATCAAATAAACCCATTCGGATATAGCGCTCCCTTTTTTGTTTTTCTCCCTATACAATTTACGTGATATAACCTATACATACAGTTGGCTATGTGAATGATGAGTGGAACATAAATGAGAGGTGGGGCTTGCACGGCATATATAGCACCAAATAACCCACCATTATTTTGTCGTTTTAAAACTAATACTCTAGTACCTATTCTTCCATCTGTTATTCCATTTTATTTGACATGACATTATTATAAAAGTTAAATATTCTTTAATAGCCATTTTAAAAATATTTATTTTAACATTCTATTTTTTTTTAATTTTAAATGTAATGCATTATGTAGTTTCAAAATATTTAAATTAAATAACAATTGACAAATCAAAATTTTCAAATTACGTAAAAAATTAGATGTTTTAAACTTTATGTTATTACTTGTATTATTATGAGGTAAAATAGTTTGCTCACATAGTTGACATTAAATCTGTTTTCTCAAAAAAATTAAATCTTTTTTTGCTTTCCAAGTTAACTTTTGCATCCGTACTGACAACTGACTAGACGAAATGCTTGTTTTTAGCACTTTATCTGTAAAATATAATGTTTTTCTTTGTTTGTCCATATGGAAGATCAAGTATACCAAATTAAAGGTCGGGAAAATGATCTGATATATTTCTTTAATTTTGTTATTTAGAATTGATATATTTTCATTATAAAAGTGACTCATATATATTTTATCAATATTCAAATGACTCACATATATCTTTATCGTTATAAAAGAAGCTCACATATACCCTTTATCTGGAAAAAAATAGTTTTAAATTTATTTTTTGACTTAATTTTTTTTAAAAAATCATGTTGGAAATATATGACCCTTCTAGCAAAGTTTAAGGTATATTTTAATTTTTTTCATACATAAATTATTTTTTTACTTTTTTTGATTATCATTATTTGAGTTTCTTGTTTTTTTTTTCTTTCATTCTTTAGTGTAAAGAAAAAAAATGTAAACTATTTTTTGCGGCTATATTATAATTTAGTTCTTTTAGTTGTAAAATTTTTTTTGGGGCATCTATGATAAATATTACAAGAAAATTAGTGAAACATAAATAAAATTATCTATTAAAATAATAAATTTAAATTAGTTGTTGAAATAAAAAAGTCAAAAAAAAAAATGTGTGAGGAGGATCAAATACCCCATATGGAATATAATTTTTTTAAAGAAATAATTAAAAAAATTAAATTAAAATTAATTTTTTTCACTTCCGTTAGAGGAAAAAAGGGTATATGTGAACTATTTGTATAATAATAGCGATATATATGAATCACTTTCATAACGAGAGATATAACAACTCTAAATGTTAAAATTGAGGAATATAACATGCCCTTTTCCCTTAAATATATGGATTTGCTAAAAAAAACAAAAAAACTTATAGTAGACAATTTTAATCTAACTTTTCATCATTAATCTTTCTCAATTAAACGAATAAAATATTCAACTAATTCAGATGGAGGGAACCAAAAGGAGGATAGACTTATTCATATATATATATCCCTTCCATATTTATCTGTTTAAGGAGAGATGTGTTAGCAAAATACATGGATCCCCTAGTGGCTAACTAGTGCAATCAAAAGAAAAAAAGGTGTTTTATTTTGGGAAAAATACTGCAATATCGATACTGAACAAAAATTAAAAATAGTAAATAGATTATGAACACTATATTATAGCAAGTCATTGTCTTGAAAGTAATATTGACACCACATAAATACAAATTATTGTAATATCGTTTCCCACAATTTTAAAATCACTTCCAAACATGTATACTCATAGGGGATTATACTTCACAAAAGACAACTCCTTTACAGGCAAGTTGCTGGAGTTGTTGGAAAAAGGAGATTAATGACAATTAAATCAGTCATTAAAAAGAATTGAAAGGGGTTGGTAGGCTCAAAAATATTTTGCTAAATCATGTTTGAATTAGACCTCACCTATAGAGAGAGGCAAATCCAACTGTTTTGCCTTGCAAGTTTATTTCTCATGTGCGCGATACTAATCCTTTTCCAACTCTAATAGAAGACAATCTATATATAATATAAAACTAGGCATAAGCAATGTGACGTGGGACCTCTATATGACCTAAAATATGGTTTTATCTTCTTTTTTTTCGACATTTTTTCTATTTTTCTTATTTATATTCTATATGTAAAAAGATCTTAACAATGATCACTCATATAATTCTCTTAATTATGTTTAGAGTTTTAAAGTTTTTTTTCTTCCAAAGAGAGATGAAATGTCACGTTCTTCTCGATCTAATTCACCATAAATAAGTCTACAATGAAGGAAAATTATTGTGAGCATGTAACAATATATCTTTCACTTCCATCACAATTTAATTCACCCTAATTATCAGCAAAATTATTGAGTATGATAATGGAGAACTTAAAGACGTTTTGGTAGCTATTTAATTTATAAATCTGTCCAAGTTAATTTACTTTAAATCTTTGCCAGTTATTTAGCCAATTTATTTTGTGTAGTTCAAACTTTTCTTAGGATAAGGACATGTGAGCTATGAAAATTTATGTATCTTATAATATGATCTTTCACTTTTCTTTTATATAATATAATATATTTGTATAAGTTCATATCAATTGAGATCTAATTCAATCTATGAAATACTCATTCTTGAATAAGATATATTTTTTCATGGGAAATTTACTTGATAAGCATGATCTTGCACGAGATAATTGATTTAATGTGATATATATATTTTTCTTTTGAGATAATTGATTTAATTTGATGTGTTTCTTCAACTTATATCGTGAAAAAGTAAGTAGATATTGAAAAAGCACATTTGATGAATGGTAACGGATTATCGAAGATTTCATATTGTGGTTCATTCGCTCAAGTCAAATTGAGTTTCAATATAATAAGCTAAGACATTTGAATATGCATTAATTTACAATCCATTTTATTATCCGAGATGATTCATTTGAAGCTATAGGTTTATGGGAGAGTTCTTAGAACAATTAGTGTCGAGTTGGGTACAAGAATTAGTCCCTTTGATTATTGAGTTGTAATCTGAAATCACTCGCTTAAAGTTAGGAAATGTTGTTTGAAAATCCTACAAAAGGTAGGTCATGATTTTACTCCCTTAAGCAAATGAGTTTTTCATGGTATATGGTTGTGTTCTCTATTATCTTATTTTGCACTGTTTCAGTAGCTGAACCTAATTCATCTAACTCAATTGCACTTCATTTTAGACGAACTTAAGAAACTCGATTCCTTTAAGATTAGTAGTTGTTGCTATAGTCTATTTTTCAGTGTTAAACCTAGTAAAGGTATTTAATAGGAAAATTTTCAAGTAAGAATGCTAATTTTACAAAACCTTGCAATTTAACTGATTTTCCAATCTTTACTTTTCCTAAAAGTATTTGAATTCCACCTTCCACGGTTCCATCCCCACCCACGTTGCTTCAAAATTTGGTCGACCAATTCTAACTAGTTATCACTTAACACTTTACACATCTACATATCTATATGTTCTACTATTGTCTTCGTCTCCAAGTCTCCATCAATTCCTCTTTAGCCTCCTTCTCACGCTTCTCTCGTTATTCATCATTTTCTCTGCTTCAACCATACTACTAGGGGAGTAGTATTTAACATTCTCTTCTAGTCTCTATGATCTGCGTACCATTTTGTTTAACTTATTTGCTTTAAAAGTTCCACTTGCAATGGCGATTGAGCTGTGTTCATCTGACGAGTCTAGTGTGGGCATAATGAGTCCAGCTCGGATCTCCTTTTCTCATGATGTTTCACAAACAGGCTCTGTTCCTATTGAACAATATATTCGATCAACTTCACCTTCCTCCAGCATTGATTTTGATTTTTGTGTATTTCGTGAGAGCTTAGATCTAGGATCTTCTTCTGCTGATGAGCTTTTCTTTGACGGAAAGATTCTTCCAATTGAAATCAAGAGAAGAATTTCCTCTATTCCGCCTAGAAAAACAGAGCAGCAACAACAATTACCACCGCCACATCCTCTGCCTCCGTGTAATACTAGTGGCAAAACGTCGAATAATGAATATGCAATCCAAAATAACAAAACAGGGGTTCTCGAATCATCGGATGAGAAACAGAATCCCAATTCCAAGTCGTTTTGGAGATTCAAAAGAAGTAGTAGTTGCGGGAGCGGGTATGCAAGAACTTTATGTCCATTGCCACTTTTATCTAGAAGCAATTCAACTGGTTCATCTCCAAGTGTGAAGCGCAATTCAACATTATCAAAGGATAATTTAAAGCATCATTCTCAAAGACACTTATCAAAATCAATGTCTTCTAATGGTTCAAACAGTCAAAAACCTCCATTGAAGAAGGCACCATACAACAATGGAGTCAAATTCAGTCCAGTACTAAATGTCCCTCCAGCAAATTTGTTTGGATTAAGCACTTTTTTTTCAAGTGGCAAGGAAAAGAACAAGAAGAAGTGATTAATTAATGAATAAGTAGCATTTGCTTTATCAGTTTCCAAAATTAGTAAGGTGTGATTAAGTTATTTTTGCTCACTTTTTCCATTAACATGATTGAGATTTGAGAAGAAAAAGTGAAGAAAAAGGATAACTGGGGCCAAAAGCATGGATCATAATTCATTCCATGCCACATGCATTTTTTTTAAAGAAGAAACAGGTAACATCTGCTATCAGATGGCAGAGAGGAGAGGGCCTGTCCCATTATGCTTTTATTTGTTTTTGTGCTTTTGATTTGCCTTACACTATATGTGATTTCAATTTGCTTCGTTTGCTTTTCCTTTACTGATTCTATCACAGACAAAAAGTATACCAGTAGTTCAACTCCTCATTCTCTCAAATACATTTTATTTTTTTCAGCTCAACATTAGGTATCATGATTCGATTTGAGTCGGTGTTTTCATTAAGTTAAATTTTCAAATATTAAAATTAAATAAAATTAATCAAGTCTATTTTCCTCCCGATTACTATCAAATATCAATTATCAATCGCCATTATTACGATAGTCACTGCAACACCAACCATCACTACTATACAAACCATCTCCACTACTATTAGCAAATATACGTGAAAACAAATGAGGCTTTAATCCCTAATTATGGATTTCTTTTTTAAAGTAAAATTCATATTTAAACACAATCTTTAAATAAAAAACTATTTTAAAGTTGAACTGCAAGTACTTGTTCCTCAACTTGTACCAAATGTATTGTGTAACCATAATGTCAGAGAGGTCACCACTGTTGTCTCTTTTTAAAAATTCTTTAGTCAGGGCAGGGCAGTACTGACACTCAAGATTTTACACATGCCTATTCTACTCTACCATGTCCCAATTTAAATTTATATTTTTATCAGGCATAATAGATAGGCAAGATTCAATTGAATATCTAAACTCGGGATAAAGTATTTTTATCGAATATTTTTTGTTTAAATTTTATTTTTTTAATATTTTTGTGTTTTCTCAAATTTATTACGTGGATAAGTTCATAATTTATAATATATTATTTATCTTGTTTAATTATACACATCAATCATACTTAATTGAAACACGTGTGAGGTTCTATGGTTTATTGAGACTATACATAGTTTAAGTGTTTAATTTATCTATGTGATGAGAACTCGAAAACACATAAAAAGGAAATTCCAAAGTTTAAACTGAAAGTATTTAATAGAAATACTTAATCATGACCAGCCATAATTTTAATATCTTAATGAAATTTGTTGATAAATTTAATTGTCTATTGATTTATTGAATATATTTTATTATGAGTACATTTTGGCATATTACAGGCTCTTTCTAGCACGAGTGTAACAAAATTTAATTACTTTCCTTAAGTCAGTTAATACAATTAGAATTAAATAATATATGTTAAAAAAATGGGCAGTTTAAGTTCATAACCTTACTATATACATTAGGGCAGTGGCGGAGCAAGGAATTTCAGGAAGAGGGTCCAAAAATTAAATAACAAAAGTTCTTTTTAAAAAGGGGAAAATATTGTTCCATGTGAGATTTGAACACGTGAGCACTGACTCATTAAAGATGTCGAAACATACATTCAAGACATCTTAAATCACTAGGCTATAACAACCTATTATGCCAAGGGTATCCAAAATATGTTATTTAATCACTTCGTATATAATTTTACTTGTATATGCGGTATTATTGGACACCCTGGCATACATGTTCCTACGCCACTGCATTAGGGTGTGTTTGGTATAGAGGAAAATATAATTTCAATTTTCTTATTTGATTGATCAAAATAATTGGAATTTTTTTTCTCTAGAAAAACAAGTTTTTAAAAAATGAGGATAATGACTTCCCTAATAGGAATAGGGAAAACAAGTTGCATAAGTAATGTTTCAAGTTTATTGTCTCTTTCTCACGGACCCAATCCACCTAACCCTCACCCCTTGACCATCCCACACGAGCCACCTTTGAACCTACACTTTCAACCCATATCCGTCTTCATAACATTTTGTTAGATAACATATAAATGCTCTTAAAATACCTAAAGACAAACGACAAAGTCCTTCTCAGTCCATGTCAAAAGTTTTTCCCCTCTTGATTTTTCAGGGGCATAAAGAATCAAGTTTAATTTATAGGACGTATTTTTTTTTATTAGTCAATTTAAAAAGAAATATTTTTTTTTTCATTTGAAAAATATTTAATGACATTGTCAATATTTTATTTATGTTAGATCTTATTTATTTGACAATTCTTTTTTATAAAGATGTACTTTTCTATTTAAAATTTTATTTACTTTAAAGATATTTATGAAATATTACAAAAAAAATCATATTTTTAAAATTTCGTACCTAGTCAATCTACATCATATAAATTGATAAGAAGAAAGCAACCAAGCACTCTATCCATCCCGTTTTAATATTTTATTTTTATACATTTTATACTTTTTACAAAATAAGTATGACTGTTATAGAAAGATGATTTTAGGGAAAATGGTCTGAAAAATACTTCAATTTTGGCCGAAATTGTTGTTACGATACCAAACTTTATGGAGGACTTTTTACCCACCCTCTTACTTTTAAAGGTATATATGTGTGACTGTTATAGAAAGATGATTTTAGGGAAAATGGTTTGAAAAATACTTTAATTTTGGCCGAAATTGTTGTTACGATACCAAACTTTATGGAGGACTTTTTACCCACCCTCTTACTTTTAAAGGTATATATGTGCCCACGTGGACACGTTACTATTTATAATGATGAAATATTTATGATGTCCACGTGGACACATATATACCTTTAAAATACACTATTGAATAGTGTAGGGGTAAAATGTCATTTTCAAAGTTCGATATTGTTACAACAATTTCGATCAAATTTCGAATATATTTCTGACTTTTTTACAAAGAGTAAACCGCTATAATTAGATAGTTTTCCCAAAATTTTATGGTAGAGAGTAAAAACTGATTTGTTGGTGTCAACTGGCAAGTTAAACGGGCCTTGGGCCTAATAAGACGAACGGGCTAAGGGGCCCAAGTTTGATAGAAATAGCAAGGAATGTTGGGCTTACTTCCTAAGCGTTTTCGTAAAATTTCAGTTTTGTCCTTTTAACACATAAGTTAATGAACTATTTGCAACTTATGGTCTTTCTTGAGATCACTTTAAATTTTATCCAGCTAACATTGTGAATTTTGAATCTCACGGTAAATTTTGAACTTCCTAAATTATTGATCTAACCTCTAAGTTTGTGTTTAAGAAATTCAAATTTATACATTAAAATTTGTCAAATATATCTTATATATATATCATATAATTTTTCAGCAAACAAATTCAAATTGAACATGTCTTGCCCCTTTTTAAATCCATCCATGCATACTATTATAAAAAAATTGTGACAACTTGAGAATCAGAATTGGTTTAGAGCCACTATTTTAGAATAAAGGTCACGATGAATAAACGAAACAGGGACCCTGCCTAAATTTATGCTTCATTCATTTATTTTACTTGATCTTTATATAAAAATAGATATTTTTATTTTATTTGTTCTTGTTAGCAAATTAAGAGAGTTTTTTCACTTTTTTTTAGTTTTAATTTTAAATAATATATAAAATAGTAATAGTGTTTATAGTAGCAAATTAAAAATTTCAAAGCATCATTAATGGAATTATTTAATACAATACTTCTCTAATTAAAATAAATAAATAAATGATGCATTAAATCAAGGGAGTACGAGAGCATTGTTGACTTTCTTCATATCTATATACAACAAAACAAAATGGGTATGTTGTGAGTAATATCACTTCAAAGTTTATTCAATTTGTGCACGCACTGTATGACTTTTTCAGTGGGCTCAATACTATTGGTGGCCTTACTTCAAATTTTAATGAGAGACTATTATTTTCAAGAGTTATTTTTTATGGAAAGAAACAAATGATAATTGATGTGTGAAACTCTAATTTTTTTTTGATAATTTAGATATATATTTTTACTACTGTCTCCTTTTTAAAAGAAATTTATAACTCTATAATTAAAAAAAAAATTAAATAAAATGAGATTCTTCAAAATTGGGGCATAAGGTATTTGTCCTTTTTATTTGTCTCTAGAGCCATCACTGCTCTAGAGACAAATTACAAAATTGTTTTTTTTTTTAATTAATTTGAGTATTTAATAATTATTTTTTACTTTATACATATATTTCAAATAAAGGGTATTTTTATAAAAAATTTAAAATAAAAAATTTCCTCGATTTTTATAAGATAGCATATTAATCTAATCTAAATTAAAATAGACTAGATTAAAAGATTTAAATAATCCCAGTTAATAAAACAAGCAATGTGAACGAGCCATGATTTATTTAGGACAGGAATGTCAACCGTACCTTGAAATTTGAATCTCCGTCACAAGGTTCAGTGTGATTTCGATGAACTGATTTGTCAGAAACACGTGCTTGTTGATTGAACATGCAACGCGATTATATTAAAATTATTTTTACTGTATTAATGGCTTGATTTCTAATTGTATGATTCTAGTTAATAGTTAAATAGATAATTTAATAATGGAAAACTTTCAAAAATAGCAAATATTGGATACTTTATAGCTATAGTTTGCTTAATACGAATAATAGCAAGATTTTAGGGGATTACAACAAACTTTGCAGAAACACGAAGTTACCAAAGTTTAATGAACCAGTGAAAAAAAGAAGAACATAAATTAATTCACAAAACTAAAATCTGTAAAAATGTACCAGAATCTGGAAAAATAGAATGGAAAGAAGATCAAGCTCACTGAATGCACAGTGTCCCCTTAAAGAAATTATTCCCCTCTAGTATCCGAGGTTTGATTTGGAATATGTCCTCCCAGGATAGAATGATCTCAATCACCAGTGTATTGATACCAAAAACGCTGGTGTCAGCGAGCCACTCAACGACAGTAAAGTACACAAAAAAAATTTGTGCAGAAGAAGAAGAAGAAATAAAAAATTTTCATAAGTAAAAAGTCTGAAGAATCAGTGGTATTTATAGCCACACGACCATTCCAGAAAGTTTGCAACCTTTCAAACGGTCATGGTTGTTTTTGAAAGTTGCAACCTTTCAGAATAGTCATTTCGGTG